TCCTTTCTTCACCTGGGTAGATGTCAAACAAGATTTAAGGCAAAATCAGCAAACTAATCCTATAGAAAGCATGAGCTGACAGGACTGCCTGGAATTACAGTCTCTTCCACTTTTTATTCAATCATCTGAGATCTGACACCGGCCTTGGTGTCATCCTCCAAAAGCCTTTCTCAGATGAAGCTGGGTAGGAAGGGAACAGGTACTAAACCCTGGAAAAGTCTGGAAAAGGCAATTGTTTGTCTGGTGTTAATCCTGGTGTTAATCCCTGCTTATTTGGATGTTGACTGCTGGCGAGGAGATGTTCTGGTCTTTTTGTTTCCTTTTTAGCTTTTTATTGTCTCTTTTGAATGGTGTGTAAATGTGATTTATCTCTATGTACTTGCTGATGGCTGACTTGTTTGAATACCAAGTTTCCAGGAATTCCTTGCATTTTTGGATTTAGCTTGGTCTAAGATGCTGACCGTTTCCCAGTTGAAACTACAGTTCAGTCTGTTCATGCATTGTGAGATTAAGGAGTTTTCATTGTGTCTTCTGACTGCTAGTTGGTGTTCATGGAATTCCTGCAAGTTTGGTATTCAAACAAGTCAGCCATCAACAGGCAGACAAACAATCAAGCAGTTGATAGTTCCCTAATCAAGGAACTATCAACTCAGACAATCAAGCAGTAAACAACAGCCTAATCAAGGAACTACCAGACAAATAATCAAGCAGTAAACAACAACCTAATCAAGGAACTACCAAGGAGAAAACAACACCCCCTCTAACACTGACAGGGCAAACTACTGTATAAACAGAGAGCAAACCCCACTCCCTTCTAGCACTGAAGATGTTACCTAGTTGGGTAATGAAACGTCTGCAAGAAAACAACCAAGCTCAGAGAACACCAAGGACTCCATAGTTCAACCCTGAGTTACATATATTCTCTTCTGTTCGTACATTTCAGACAAATAGATTGGAGAGGCAGGGCAGGGGGATGTCATATTAAGCTCAGTTAAGTCTTTTTAAAAAATATATGCAATACATACTTAGAGAATCATAGACGTTCAGAGCTAGCCACAATTACAAGGAAATGACAACACGTGCACAGTAATACCACAATGCAGACCCCAACCTTCCATATTTACATCGCCTGACAAATGTTCACTCTTAGCTATGTGTATGGGCAGCTGTGTCTATACATACTCACATCAGAGACTCAGTCTCTCAACAAAGCTGACCCAGAAGGTCTGCAAACATGAATAAACAGTGGAGGAATAGAGCAAATCAATGATGAAAGGGACACTGATGGGAACCAATGATCTCCGGGCTGTCAAAGAATAGTGATGGTCACATGTATCAGGCAGCAGCTCTGCTTCCTATTCTAACTGGAAACGGAAGGTGCATAGCCTTGTGCAGAACTGGGGACTTTTAAGATTTTCTTTCTTTGATTTGCACAGGACTCCCGATTTAATAGGCCCAGACCTAGAGGAAGAATCTTTGCCTGTGACTTCAAAGATTTGGAGACTGGAAAGAAACAACCAGCACAGAGTTCCTTGAGCCAACTCGACTCCTATTCAGAAGACATCATTACTTGTGCATCTGCTTCCCTGGCTCAGAAGGAATGCTGACAGACATATGCAAGTCACAGGGTCTCTGTTGGATATCTTCATGGTTTTGCTACCCCTCCCCCTCAGACATATATGGACAGAATGAGATAAGATTTGCCAGCACAGTTATCCTTTTCCTTCCAAATATCAGATAGGATGTAAGGAACAATGAACTTGGGGTTAATTTTTTAAAAAAAGTTTTGATAATCCCCCTTGTTGTTTGATAGGAGCTGTTATAGCAAACGGTGCCATTACCAGGCTATGCTCTCAAAATTTTAAATGTACTCATAGACTCAAAAAGATAAGAAATCTCCATTGTAAAGGGAACTTCTGGCTTTGAATGAATAGTTTGGCATGAAATGGAAGTATTTTAGAAAAGGATCAGGATTTTGTCAAATTGGTTAGAAGGGTACAAATCAGAGAGTGACATCAGTCTTAACTCCTCTTTCTCACCCTACCAAAACTCTTCAAATATTCCTGTTTAGATGAAGAAAAAATAACAAAGAATACTGACCTAATTACAGAAAACCATTATAAAAGACTTTATATCCATCTCTTCAAGCACTGTGATTGAAAACTTCTGATAAACCATTCCCTGTGATTAGAAGTTGCACTGATCAGTCATTACATATCTCTCCCTCTCACCCTATCCTGGTGTTGTCCATCTACAGAAAAGTAAATGCAGGATAGTTTGTAGACAAACTGTCTTTCTGCAGTCTTTCAAAAGCTTCAGAATGGTCCATACTTGGTTTTGGGAATCCCACTTTCCCTTAGAAAACAATATATGATCTCCCCAAAATGGCCTGATTCAGTTTTGACTCAGTCAACTGTGATGAATGTTCTTACAGTTAAACTATAGATTGGATTTTATAGTAAATAATGAAAATATTGACATAATATGTTAAATTCAAGCTGGAACTTTATGTAAATCTACTTGGCTAAGTCCTGTCAAACACAGATAGATTGATATACTGGTTTTTATGGCCAGTTTCTGTTGGGCAGTGGACACCTGCTGCTACACCTGGCTATAAAGACAGGAGCCCCTGCTCAGTTGCCTGTGGTCTGCATAGCAGACCATCTTGCCTCTGAGGATACCAGCCACAATTCCCAGTGAAACATCAGGAAATCTGTCACTAAACCCTGAAGCCCAACACTGCCCAACAGATATATTACCTAGAACGTAATCTAGATTAATCTGCCATTTTTATTTTCAATATTTTTTTAATTGAAAACACTTAAAATGAACTTCAAACATATTCAGTCTGGCTCCAACTCTAGACTAGTTTTAAGAGCTCCAGGAACTTGCTAAGGATCATATAGGTATTTTCACACAACTTCTTTTACGTTTGTTTCATCTCCTTAAAATCCATGTTGTTATACAATTAATGGATGACATGGTTTGGTAACATCTGAAATGATTGAATTTCACTTTGGTATTGTTTTCTCTTTTATTTGTTCCATGAATTTAATAAAGAAAAGTAAAAGGAATCCCAGGAATATGTGACAAATATTGGTGTATTAGTAATATTCAATGATCTCTACATACTCTGTGGTTTCCCAGGGCTTGTGTTGCTGACACTGCTTTCAAAAGATGAGTGGAAGTTGTGTATGGTCTCCTGTAAAATTTTTCTCTCTCGTCCCTGTTGAAATTCATAATTAAAACAAAGATCAAAAACTCAGTCAGTATACTTAAATATATTATTACAATAATTAGTGAGAAATCCCCTACAGATCTACCTTTAGGACATACTTTGTTCCAGGATATCGAGAAAAGGAATGGCAGTGCTTCTGGCCATTACACATTATCAAGGCTACTCAGCTTGAACTACATCAAGCTAAACATCATCTACTCTACCAGCTATGTATTTTAGCCTGCTAGATACTTAACAAAACTTTGTTTGAAGTACCAAAATAAATTGTGTTTGTAGAGTAGAATAACAAATGTTTGACCTGAAGAGAATTGTATATGCTATTCAAAATTGTATCGCTAGATCGGAGTAATGACTGGGTGGACAAGGTGCAATCATTTGAAGACTAGTTTCAAATATTCCAGCAATGCCATGAAATAAACACATAAAAAGGGGTTCATAATTTCTGAAATTCCAAGCCAAACCACAACCACCTATAAATTTCTAACAAATATAGGCGTCATATCAAGGGACTAACATACTAGTCCTATAATGGTTGAATCCCTCAATGATTCTAACAGGTTAAAGTTCCTCAATATAACAATGAGAAATGTGCTGTAAGTCATGATGATACTATTTTCAGAACGGACTCTCCCTCATTGGAAAACAAAATGCATAAGGGCAAAATAATATCAATACAGTACTTCTTCTCAAGTATCAGATATTCAGAATTACCTTTCCTGCATTTAACTCTGAAATAGCTGCCAGAATTTGTTGTCTAGAACCATCAGTCTTAATTCCCAGTTCCTTCAAATCCCCATCTGTAAGAGTGAGAAAAGCTTCCATATCCACCTGTTGAAACAGGAATCCATGAATATATTATTCTCTTTTAAATTATGAAGCAGCCAATGGAATAAAAGAAAGGCACTGCACTCTTCTCCACTACTTTGATTCCAAGTCCCAAGCAATTTTGTATATATCAACTCTTTTAAGAACCTGAGGATCTCTTACTGCTACTGATTTTTCAGTTGTCTCAAATGTTATGTATCTTAGAACATCCTGATTCTAAACTTAACTTTGATACAAATTCAGTAGTTGGCTTTAGGCAAGTATCTTTCAGCCTAAGTGCTCACCTTCTAATAACAACAGTTCTACTTTAGAAATGTTGTTAGGGTCACTGAAATAATGTATGTAACGTACTTTAAATACTCTAAAGCATTTATCAATTACATACATTATCTCCTATCCTTCAGTTACTAAATTTGCCTAAGCTTATGCAGACCATGTGTTTCTATCTTTGGTTTCCTGTAATAGAATTAAAAATTAGAAAAAACACATTAAACCTGTAGAACACTTAGCTAATAAAACAAGAAAGAACTATCTAAGGGATTGTAAAACGTTTGTGTTTTAGTAGAATATGGTTCATAAAACACCAGTTATTCTGTTTGAGCTTAAAGCCTAGACCTTAGTGGAGTCTGATTTGCCTCCAAATTGGTGTGTGGCTTGTTTTGAGGGTGCCTTGGTTACAGCTTGATCATCGTTCTTAACTGTATTTTGGACTGCTTCATACTGGTTTCTTATTAATATATTTTTAAGTGTTGTTGTTAACCACCCAGAATTCCTTGTTTAAGATGGGTGGCCAAATATATAAATACACAGATATCCTAAATGTTTACAGTTGTATTTTGGGAGCACTGACCTAGAAAAATGATATGTTTCTTTTTTGTGACTTCCAATGGAGACCTAACTGAAGCATGTGAACATATAATTTTCTGCATAAGTTTTTAAAAAACATTATTCCTGGAAGACTCACCTCCGTTGCTAGGTAATAAAAGTATGTTATTTCCAAATATGGTTGAATTAATTGTGTTTGCATTTTTAAAAGAAAAATGATGTGAGATAGATACAGATATAGATACATGCATACACACATACACTCAGAGAGAATCACCCCTCCCCCCAGAAGGATCACTGGAGAGATGAAAGGTTTTATCTTTGTCCCCCTCCCTTCTACTCATCCTACTCCAGAGCTGCACTGGCTGCCAAAAGAGTAGTTGAGGGCTGTAAGTTGCCTGCAGGCCTTGTGCTTCCACATGTGCTCTAGAATGTTCCAAACGTAGCTCTTTCTAAGCAAAATACCCATATATAAGATTGATAGGACTGTCAATCCCTTATGCAATTTGTTTCTTTCAATACATTTGAAAAAGTAAAGGCAGGTCCAAAATAATCCCATCTTTTCTACATAAAACAGAAACCAAATGTCATTTGCAGAATTAAAAGCTTAACAGTTTTGACCATGATTAAGACATATTCAGAAACTTGTCTTGTATAATCCACAGACACAACCATCGCCATCTTTGTAGCTGTGATTATTGTGTTCCTCTTAATTTTTTTAATCCGTTCAATCGTGTCCAATTCTCGGAGACTGCCTGGACAAGTCCCTGCAGTTTTCTTGGCAAGGTTTTTTCAGAAGTGGTTTGCCATTACCTCCTTCCTAGGGCTGAGAGAAAGTGACTGGCCCAAGATCACCCAGCTGGCTTTGTGCTTAGGCAGGACTAGAATTCATGGTTTCCTGGTTTTTAGCCTGATACCTTAACCATTACAACAAAGGCTCTCCATTCTTTTAAAATACTGTTTCTGAAAAGCCAGATGATAAATTTTGAGATTACATTTTTGTGAAATAAATCAGTATTTTTGAAAAAGTAATTCCCATAATGTTATTATATACAAGTTTCCCGAATTTCCAGCAGCAAAGAATGAAAAAGAAAAGAAAAAATTACCTCCTGCTCTTCAAAGATAGGCTGATACTTTTCAAGTGAGAGTTTTTTCAGGATGCCTGTGAGTTCATCTTTAAATTAAAGAAAGAAACTTTTAAAACTGAAGTATGAGAATTGTAGAATGATGTTGCACAGTTATGCCTGACCCACTATGGAAATGAAGATGGGGATGAAAAGAATTCTGCTTCCTAACATCCTAGGCAAGATAGCTCCTTTAATTTGTGCAATGCTACTATAACAGATAAAATTTATTCCAAGTGCAATAGTTGCTCAATGAGTCCATTTTGTTTTATTGTTTTTTGGTTTAAATTGCTGTTGTGAGCCACCTAGAGTTGTGTTTCTTAAGATGGGCAGCCATATAAGTCTTTTAAGCAAATCAATCAATATAATAGAGTATGGAGTCCTTGGTGCTCTCTGAGCTTGGGTGTTTGCTTGCAGACATTTCATTACCCGACTAGGTAATATCATCAGTGCTAGTGAGTGTGGGGTTTGCTCCCTGTTTATATAAAGCAACTTGCCCTGCCAGTGTTGGTGGGGGGGTAGTTTTCTCCTTGGTAGTTCCTTGATTAGGGTATTGTTTTCTGCTTGTTTGTCTGGTGCAAATCCCTGCTTCTCTAGGTGTAAGCTGCTAGAGAGGATGTGTTCTGGTCTTTTTGTTTCCTTCTTAGGTTTTTTTATTGTCTCTTTTGAATGGTGCGTAAATGTGGTTTATCTCTATGAGCAAGCTACTGTATTACATATATTGTCCTCGACTTACAACTACAATTGGGACTGGAACTTCCATTGCTAAGCAATGCAGTCGTTAAGTGAGTCACGCCCGATTTAACAACCATTAAGCGAATCCAGCTTCCTCCATTGACTTTGCTTGTTGGAAGTCCCCTGGGAAGATCACAAATGGTGATCATATGACCCCGGGACACTGCAATTGTTGTAAATACATGCTGGTTGCCAAGTGCCCAAATTACAATCATGTGACCGCGGGAACACTGCAACGGTCATAAGTCACTTTTTTTCAGCACTGTAGCAATTTTGAACAGTTGTTAAATGAATGGTCATAAGTCTTTGTATCAGATCTTTGTACAAAGATCTTAACCACAGTGCTAGCAAATAGATTACAGCAAGTGATGCTTTTTTTTGTTTAGATTTTTTTTTAATCTGTCTTTATTACTTTATAAGTAACTCAAGGCAGTGTACATACATAATCCTCCTTCCTCCTCCTATTTTCTGATACTGTTTGTTATTAAGAATGATCAAGCAGGGTTTATAAAAGCTAGAAGCAGCCAACAGCATTAGGTTAGCTGTAGACTTAATAGAGTTGAATAAAAATTATGAACAATTTGTCATTTTATCTTTAGATACGGAAAACGCTTTTGACAAAATATATAGACAGCACATGTTTGCTGTATTAAGTAGGTTTGGATTTCCCTTGAAATTTATAAAATGGATTAAGATATTATATGAGTTGCCCGCATCTAAAGTAAAGGTTAATAGTATTCTTTCTTCTCCTTTCCCATTATTTAGAGGAACTAGACAAGGATGTCCACTTCACCCTTGCTTTTCAATATCTGCATGGAACCCTTGGCTTGTGCTATTAGACAACATAGGAAAATTTATAGAGTAGTACATAATTCAGTTGAATGCAAATTGGTTTTATTTGCAGATGATATTCTTTTGTTTATTACTAAAACCTCATACTACTGTTCCAGTGTTGATGCAAATGATTTAGTAAAATGTTAGTAAAATAGAAGGATATTCTATTAATTGGTCCAAATCAGAATTGATGCCAGTAGATGAAAATTTAGTTACCCATGCATTTAAGAAATATCAATTTCGTATTTGTACCAAATCCATTAAATATTTAGCTACGTGCATACCAAAAGATATAACTCAGTAACATCTAATATAAATAAAACATGTAAAAATTTCTTTAGATATGGGTAAATGGCAGTCATTAAACCTCACCCTTTGGGGAAAGGTGAATGCCCTCAAAATGAATATTATTCCCGGATTAATTTATACTCTGAGAGGCATTCCTGTTCAAATATCTGAAAAATACTTTCAGAAAACAAATTCTTTGTTTAGAAAATTTTTATTGGGTTCTTCGATTCTGAGAATATCTCTACGGAAAATGCAACTACAAATTAATGAGGGAGAATTCGGTTTTCTGAATCTGGAGCTACATCATCAAGCTTACCTATTGTCAAGTATTAAATACTGGAAGCCAACAATTGGTGTTAATTTTCCGATTTGGGCAACATTGGAATATACATATGTAGAACCTTTGGTTGGATGGAGAGTATTAAGATCTAAATACAACAGAACTCTAATATCTAATAACCCTAGCAAGAGTGTCAATGGATCTTAAACTATGACTTATACAACAAAAAATAATATTTAGAGTTTATTGGTCTCTACTACACTTGTATAGAAAAGGATTGTCAAAAACAGCATGATGTTGGAGATGTAATAAGGACAATGCTTCTTTAAAACATACGTTTTTACAATGTCCTATACGTAAGTTTTGGGAGAAAGTAATGGACTATATAAATATGATTGTGCAACACAAACTCAAATTTTCAGAGGATAATATTCTTTTGAACTATATACCTAGCACATGGAATTTGACATCTGGTCAATGTAAATGGATTCTCCGTGTCCTTACTATGGCCAAAAGACTGATATTGCAGCACTGGAAAGAGAAATGTATGGCCCCATTTATTCAATGGATTGAAGTCCTGATTGCACTTGCCACTTATGAGTGGATTGCCTACAGACGTAGATTTGTATGGACAAGTATACTGAAATATGGGACTCATTTATACAAAATACAATAGGTTAAAAAAAATGATAGTCGTATAAATGTATTGGAAATATATATGCATCTGAATAATATTTGCATTAGATAAATATACTCTATATATTGTAACTATTTACTGTTATAATGATATTCTATGCTAAGTTTTTAAAATTTTCTGTTGTATTTTTGTCACTTTTTCGTAATAGCACTTTTTAATGTTTTTTTCTTCTTGATAGTGTATTATTTTTGTGTGTGTTTTGTTTTTCTTTTTTGTTATTAATTGAAAGGCAATAAAATTATAAAAAAAAAAAAGAATGGTTGTAAGTCGAGAACTACCTGTATATAAACAGGGAGCAAACCCCACACTCACTAACACTGAAGATGTTACCTATTCAGGTAATGAAACGTCTGCAAGCAAACAACCAAGCTCAGAGAGCACCAAGGATAAAAGAGTATCCATCACATTCACAATGTGAAAACAGGATATGTACAACAGGTAATGTAAGAAAAATGAACCTTGTGAATTTTACCACCTCCATCCCGATTGTTGCCATTTAATTTGTCCCACTTTTGCTATGCGAATGCACAATAGATTTCCATATATATATATAGGAGAACATAAGCATTCTCTTCTCTGGATGATAAAATCCTTTTTCACTGTATACTGCCAAGTGGGAGTTGGACTACCCATCCAAACTTTGCCTATGTCAAGTGCAGGGAACATTGGTGATTTTGTATGATTTGTTCCTTGTTGCCCACAATCAATGCAGTCCTGCAAATAACCTGGTCCTGTGGCAGGTAGGGCTTTAAAGGTGATAACCAGCACCTTGAATTGATCTATTTCCTCTAGTTTTTTTGTTATTTGTGGGTCTATTTGTAATAGTACATTCTGCTTCCCCTGTCAAACACCTTGGAATTTGATATTCCTCATTGCTTCCTGCATTGGGCTTGCCCAATTTCTGCTTCACTTTCCTTCCTTCCCCAATTGCCACTACTCTCTTCCTATTTTGAATACTCTTGAGCAGAGCACAACACCACCTCTTACCTTCCCTACTATGGCTGCCTGGAAGCCATCACTCAAAAGCAATGGGGGAAATGGAATACTAATTAAACATAGCATCAGGAGGATGAGTTGAGATGTGCACCTTCTGCCAAATAAGTCACAATGCTGGCCTATCAAGCTCGTGTTCACTCTTCATCCAGTGTTTTCTGCCCATAAGACTATCCAAAATACAAGTGCCATTCTGAAATGGTGTTATCCAGCAAAAAATCTTTAGTGCTATTGCTGGTTATAAAGCTTATAACTACTTACCTTCATCAGTTAAAGTCCCACTGCTGGAGCCACCACTGCTTTTCCCTTGCCTGTGAGAGGAAGAAAGTGAAGACCCTGCACTTTGAATCTTGGGGGATGGTAACGGAGATGGTGACGGTGTGAGGGTTGGGGATGTGCTTTTAGATGTAGAAGAATTCTCAGATGGAGGTTTCTGGTTCACGTCCAATTTCTGTTTTACCTAACAAAAATACAGAAACACGTCATATGATTTTTAAAAAATGTTTAAATAATGTAAAGAACCTAAGCACATCTATTCTATATTTTTCTCTCCAGATAAACTGTCTTAATAGTCATTAAAATGTAGCAATTAGTAATTAGCTATTCTGAGTACTGGAAAATAGAGACATCTGCTTGGATAGCTGTGAGTTCCACAACAAATATTTGCTGTAAAACTGGAGCGTTACTTTATCCTCCAACTAGCACCCACAGCTTCCTTTATGCATCAGTGCCAGAAAAACCCATATCAATTATTCTTAAGAGCTCAAGAAGTCTGCTAGTGGTAAATATTTTGCATTTACTGAACACAAATAGAAAATACAGCATATCCCTCAGCTGATCTATCATTTCAAGTAAAACATACATGTTAACTGAAAACACGTAACTTGAGGCAACTGTACAACAATTTCCTAGAATTGTTTGTCCTCTAGAATCTATTTTTAATTTATTGTAAAATGTATGCTGCTAGAGTTTATATAACTTTATTTCTGTATTTAAACATTTATTTATATTCTAACACACATCTGCTTTTCTTTCTCTTCAAATCTATGCTAAAAAAATACAGTATCATAAAATGATATACCTCATTTTTTAGTTCTAAAGGCTCTTTAACATTTTCTTTGGGGCTGTGAGAAACCAGGATATAGCATAGCAATGAAGACCCTCATTTCTTCAAATACTATGTTCTTGGCAGCCATTGATTAAAAAAGAAATATAGAAATATTGAAGAGTGAAAACTATGTTTTGATTTCTCCCCTACATGTATAATATTGGTGGAAAATTATAAATTATGTTCCAGAGCATGAACTCTTCCCTTATGCTTAGAATTGAATTACATTTCATATGTTTTGAAAATAAAAATTTCCCCAATTATAAAAGACAGCTTTTCAGATATAGGAACTTTAATACATTAAGCCAACTGTCTTTTATTGTGAGCATCACTAAGGAAAGAGTACAATGCAGAGTGGAATAGACTCAATAAGCCTGTATTTGTTACAGGCAGGTGGAACTCTAACACTGAGCAATCTGCAAGGATCAATATAATTTTACACTTGGCTCCAGGCAATAATAACCACAGCAACTGAATTCCCATATCAAGATCTCATTAAACATAATTATACTATACATTTGCCTACCTCTATTCAATGTCAGCTTGAATGCTTGGGTGGGAGAGGAAAAACAGATGGATAGAGAAACAGCATTGGCAAATATAAACATTACTTGGAGAGGTTCTGAAAAATGTTTACTTTGTTAGCATGCCCAAAGCTTATGGCAGGGGACAGTACCTAGCCAATATTCAAAAGGCTAAGCTGTCAAACCAGCTTAGGATAGGTGTGCAAAGAAACTACTAAGGCATATTCTGAGGAAGGCTATGTCAGACTATTCCATGCTGTTGCCAAGAAAATACATGGCTGTGTCCATAAAATCACAAAGAGTCCAGCTCAATTTGAGAAGAGCTTCATGTATGTATATCCAAAGTCATAATTATAGTTCAGCTTACAGCATAAGCCTACAAAAACTTCTGTATCTCTTTAGACTATTTACTTCCCTCATGAGGACTTTTCTTGCTGGACAAGTAGTTTGAATAGAAAAAAAATGACACCCCATCTTAATTTAAAAGGAAGTCATAAGAAAACACTGAAACAACTGAGCATTGCGTACAATTTAATTTTTAGTAACTGGATAAGAGCCACCCTGACAAAGAACTTGCATTACTTATGCTTATGAGCTGATCAGTGTATAATTTATGTATAACCCATGTTTACAAACCATGACAGCTGGATTTAAACAGCCACTATGCCAGAAACAAATAATCACTATATCAATCACTGAGGCAAACTACTTGGCCATCTGGCTTTCAGTCAAATCCTTATTTTAAGCCTTCCCTGAACAATAGTTAAATATGGAAACCTCCACAAGTTTCGTTTTCTTTATTCAATTTATGGTCATAAACCAAATGATACAAACCGAAGAGAAAAAGATATCTTACAAATTATGCATAGTTATAAAGCCAGACAACAGGAAGAGCTAAAATTCTTATCTAGGAACAGAATATTTATCTTGCTGGGTCAACATTGCACTTCTGATCTTGAAAGCCGCATAACAACAGAATTTGGCCACTGCCAAGGATGTAAAATCATAGGGATCAGCCAGCAACAGCTGAATATAGAAACAGTCTATATAACAGTCCTGGAAAGTCTAGTAATATATTCCTGAGCTCTGCTTTCAGCAAAGGAGTTTACCTGTGCCATCCCTGTGTCCCATTACTACTGGCATTATCATTTGGCACACAGTACTAGAACCAATGTAGTTGTTCCTATATCAAAATTTTCGGAGGAAATTCTTTAAAATGCTATAATAAATACATTAATAGTTTAAGATGCCACACACCCTTTGTATAAATAATAGCATTATTATTGCATTTATTGAGAGCCAATCTGGTACAGTGGTTAAGGCATCAAGCTAGAAACTGGGACACTGTGAGTTCTAGTCCCACCTTAGGCACAAAGCCAGCTGGGTGGCCTTGGGCCAATCTCTCTCTCTCAGCCCTAGGAAGCAAGCAATGGCAACCCACTTCTGAACTCTTGCCAAGAAAACTGCAGGGACTTGTCCAGGCAGTTGCCAGGAGTCAACACAGACTTGAAGGCATACACTAAAAAAACATTTATTATAGAAATATATTTTTATTATTACATGGCAGAGTTAAGTTTAACCCAGAAATATATTTATATGTCGCTTTTCTAAAAAAATCCATTAAAATGCATGCTTGTTTGGTAGCTTTGAGATAAGAATAATAAAATTAACCTTAAGAACAGGTCCATTTCCAATGGTCTGTGTATTTTCCACATCAGGAGGACAGGATGAAATTAAACCTACTGTAATTAGCTGTTGGCTTGGTTTCGGTTCAGATATACCAGCAGCTTTTTTTCTTTGAGCTGCAATTTGAGATAAAACACTATCCGCACTGCCACCTTAAAAACAATTAGATAGAAAGATTTTTAAAATTCTAACACTTCACACGTTATTCTTTTAATTTGAACAAAATCAAATAATGTTTTAACACATAGCCTTAAAACCAGCTTTTTATCAGAAGTGCTTCTTTTTTGAATTTAAGAGAAATTATTTTTAAAGCTGTAATATTGGAGATGGTAATGGCAACTCAGTTGTGCAGACTTGTGCAGGAGATGGATTTTAGCAATTGTCTAACAATTTGTCACAAGCCAAGCAGAATTTACAGCTCCAAGTGCAAGATGGATTCAGGTCCAGGACAGGCATACCAGGTTTGGGAGACAAGAAGCCCATGAAGACTGACTGGGGTAATATTAAAGGTGAGTCAGACTTGAAGAGAAGATTATCAGCAGCTATCAGGACATAGAGACAAAGGTCTAACAAAGGCAAGTGTAATTCATGGATGCAAGTGGCTCTAGATCAAAAGGCCAAGCTCTTCTTCTTCCCTATTCATTAAATGTCATTAAATTAAATGTCATCTTGCATTTATCAACTCACTTGATAGCCAGCCTAGTGGACTGGCAGAAAGAAAAACTGCTTGTTCTTCTTCTGTGGCCCGCTTAGTTTCCATTTTGCTGTCCCAAGCAGCACACAAGCACTGCAGGCTAGAGAAGGAAAGACAGATTCTTCTGCCCCTCCTGCAAAAGCATGCTGGCTTGAAAATAAGAAAGACAGGTGCACATATACGTACAGTAGCCTTGGAGAAGGACAGTCCTCCTTTATAGCTACAGTGGACAAAAACAATATTGTAACAACAACATCCTAATATCCCTCTTTTAGAATATGTGTTGGTTACAATTCTGTCAGTATTCACCATCACATGAGTTAATTAGGGAAGGAATCTGCACTTTTCTTTAATGGTAGACCACCAACCATGTTAAATGGCCATAAGGATGAGAACACTAGAGGTGTTATGCAACTCAAGAATAGGTGATAAGAGCTGTGCACAGGTAATCATTTAACAACCACTCATTCAGCGACCATTGAAAGTTACAGTGGCGCTGAATGAGATTTACCACCGGATGCTTCAGAAAACACAGAAGTGCTCAAGTAGCCCTTGTCTACAACTCCTTAAAGTAGCTGCGTCTTTTCCCGGGATGGAACTGCTGTCATCCGTAGCTGTCTCCTGATCCCAGGAAAAAGATCTCATTTAAGCAGCTGCAGTCAAATGCTACATATGCACCTATATGTACTTCAAAGCATTTTGGCCTTCATGTCCAAAGCACTGCATAGCCCTATCTTATATGATTTTATTTACATTTATATTTCTTTACATTAAAATGTATAGACACCTGATTTATTATGCAGTTCTCCACCATGCCGGCTAACTCCTCCTATGCTGCTGGATCCACCAGAAGAATGAGGCGAATGGTTGAAATTACTTGAATTGCTGGGAGTCGGAGGTCTTCTTGCAAAAGTGGACAGTTTAATGGGTCTACTACCTCTACTTAAGGACATCTGGAAAAAAAATACAGTTTTAAATAATTTTTTTCTACTTATGTTTGTAAAATATATTCATTTTCACATAAATTCAACCATCCAACAAAACAAAATGAGTGAACTGCAGAATAATAAAGACAAGTGGCATAACTTATGTATTCAAAAACCTAGTTTTTGGGTAACATTGAGAGACAAAGCAGCATGGTAGTTAAGAATTTTGAATTTAGACCTTGGACAAATGCCAAATCATTGAAAAAGTTATTTGGGGACTGATGGTGAAATCTTCCTCAACTGAAACTGTAAATGGATCATCAAATGCCAGTGTCCTTTGCAGATATAACAGAAATACTGATTATTTCAAAAGCTCTAAAATGCTTGCATCTCTCCCTCTCTCCCTCTCTCTCGCTCTCTCTATATAGAGAGAGAGAGATTCACTTATAACGAATAATTAAACGAAACCCTCCAAAACTTAAAAAAAAAAAGATTTTTCTTTATAAGTTGTGTGGAAACAAAATGTTTTTCATCTCCTTAGAAAATAAACTGAATATATATAAATACTTACTTTGTTATTCTTGTTTTCTGAGGCTTATTTAACAGCTATGTGATATCTTACATTTTTTTCTCAAAAATAAACTTGATTGGATTTAATAGTACTTCTATTTACTGAGTGTGGTTTTGCAGCCTAAATTTCTGCACATATTTTAATAATTACAAGAATAACTATTTTAAAAGAATCCAAGATTATAGCAACTGAATACTATATGGCTGTTCTTCTATACATGTACTGTATATTACTTATATTATCTTTGCTTTCTTTTTACATGGTTGTACAACCTCCAGAATTGTTACATTGGGGCAGTTAACAAATATGGTTAGTAAGTAAATCTCTTCCTAGCGTTCTTCCTGCAGACGCAGGGTCCGCTTTTTTCGGATCAACCAAACATTGATCCATTGGTTGCGACAGGAATTGACTGACCGACCAGCTTGTCGCTCGAGCCTGACGTTGGGGCTAAGAGAGATCCAAAGTCACCCAGCTGGCTTTCATGCCTAAGATGGGACTAGAACTCACAGTCTCCTGGTTTCTAGCCTGATGCCTTAACCATGGTTAGTAATGGTTAGTAAGTAAATAAATGTTGAAATTAAAATATAGTAAAACTTCAAAACACCAATTTAATTTATAGATGAACAAACAATGTGTTTAAACAATCCAGAAATGTGACTATTAAAGATTAAATAAAACCAAATTTACTCTCTTACTTTGTCAGCACTATTGTCAATACTTGTAGCTCTGTGTGGAAAGCCAAGTCTTGTTTGTTCTTTGCTACCATCTTTGTTCTGTGTTCTATCAGAATTCCATAACTCAAAACTTGAAGGTGGCAAGAAAGGTGGAATAACAGCTTTCAATTTGTCATTGGGCAGCCGTGTAAATGGAGCCCCACTTCTTAACTGACCAGGAGAAACAAAAGGCAACAAAAATCACAACAGGTGACATCTTTTATTACAATAGTAATAAAAATATAATTAATTCCTAAATGGCATTTACATACATCATTGCATATAATAGATTAATCATATAAAAGTGAAGATGAACAGATTTTTAAAAAAAATTAATGAAGCATTTTTCACTGAAGTTTTCCTGGCTGAAAGAGAGTTGTAACATGACACTTGGGTCAAGCAGATTTATCTTTGGAGGGTGAAATACAGTGAAAAGGCTTTGTCAAACTGTGAGATAGAAGTTTGGTATGAGACGAAATGATTAGATATATCACTCTGTAAGGCCAAGAGAATATTCTCTGTATCCCTGATCAGGCCTCGGGTTGCATCAATCCTCTAAAACAGTGACAACTGCCTGTCTGCAGGGTCAGCAATGACTGAGCGCAGACAAAAAAAAAAACAACAACCTTCTAATAAATTTAGTTTCCTAATTTTTCTCTTTTCAAGTCATTCTACTTTGTTTCATTTTATTTATTTTTTCTTAATGAAGTTTGGACATCACTATTTATTTAGCATTTTGTTTAATTTCCTTCTGGATTAATCTTCCATATCTGGAATCCTGTACAAGAAACCCTTGTATTCCTCTCTTCTAATTAACAAGAGTCCACAAGACCCTTATCCCTTAGATCCTTGCAGCAGATTCAATAGATATGAAGATGTTCTTTTTTCTTTAATCCATAGGCCATACCCCTTCATATTTGGAGCTACATTTCTCCAGTTGTATTGGTGGAAGTTTAGGATGGATCAGAGTTCAATAATATTATTAAAGTCAAGTAATAATTAAAAGTAAAAATTTCTACTAATTTTAACTGTCATAATTTTTGTATAACATATCTATTTTGCTTAGTAGTTCATTTCGTAATGTTTTTCTATATAAAATAAATTAGAATATAGCTATATCTACCAAATGGAAACATTGTTCTGTAACTTCTCCCAGTTTAACTAGGTTTTCCACCCAACTCTACAAACACAATCCCTCAAAAATTATCTGCTTTTATCAGTCCAAGAGCATCCTGCTAATTCACAGAACTCAAGTCATTTCCCATTCATTTGGTCATTGATCATTTGGAAGGCACCATCTAATCCAGTATTGATTAAATTCAGCATTGGGAACTGGATTCCTCCAAACACAAGTTGCAGTCACTACAGATTCTAATCCTTGCCATTATACCTTTGTAGCTCCTCCCATTTAAAGTCCCCATGCTGATGCAACTGTTCAGGACACTTCCTAACTGAAAATTTCTGAAGCAATTTTTCATATATTGATAGAAAGCACCTCTATCAGATTGGAAGGGTCATCTGACTCCCTAGCAAACCATTTTTGATCTAGTCCATGTTAATTCAAGGAACAACAGCATTCTTTCCTCATGATCTGCAGCCATAAACCAGGTTGCTTCCTTAACAATATCTCAGCGCACAGTTTAAGGAAATACTTTGGCAAACCACATTAACTGTTCCAATCCAAACAATCCACAGCATACAATTGCTTCTTACTCTAATTGTAGGAAAGAATATAATATTTTATATGGCTCTTCAACAAAATAGTGTAGCTGCTATTTCATTGCTAGAATAATAGCAGATATGAAGAAACTGCTAGTCCTGCGTTAATTTAATGTGTTCAATTGAACATGCAAGGAATGGTGACCAGTCCTTCTCCTCCCTCTCCTATTCTAGTGCTATAAATAAAGAAGTAGTCTCCATGATTACATCATGACTAACAATAACAGGAAACCTTCTCATATACATAAAGGCCTTCATGTGAGTTGGTACCTGCCACTATTGTGTACAGAGCTAGGCTCCCCATTGTAGACAACACACTGTAAGCATGTACACAGGCTCCTCACATACATAAACAGTATACAGGTAGTCCTCATTTAGCAACTGCCTTGTTTAGCAACTGTTCGCAGTTATGATGGCAATGAAAAAGTAGCTTTGCAACCAAACCTTGCATTTATAACCTTTGCAGGTGTCTATAAAGCAAAGGAAAGCTGAAGTAAAATCATAAACACAGTCACGGTTTCACTTAGCAATCACTTCACTTAACGACCAAGTTGCCAGTTCCAATTGTGGTTGCTAAATGAGGATTACCCATAACTAGGTACAGGGGAGTATGGAGACAGCTTTGAAGAAGGAATGAAAGGACAGTTACTAAACACCAGCTTAGATCTGAAAGAGAGGAAGGACTGAGAAAGAAGTTCAAGATTAGCCTACCTCTTGGGTATAAGATGAGGAGAGAGAAAGTCCATGGGGCTTTTAGGATTCTCTTACTATACTCTGCATCAACAGAGTTCCAGCAGTCATTATGAAGTCTATTTTCTCATCTAGCTTAACTCAAAGGACTGACACTTTGAAGGGAGGGGATGGTCAGTGTCCTCACAGGCTAGACTGAACACACAAAAGTAATGCTTGAACAGGGCTACTGATTCCTTTTTGCACAAGAGTTCCTGGGCAATCTGCCAACATTTGATATGCTATAATAACTGTATAGGCTGACTTACCACTGTGGTCAAAAACTCATCATCCTTTCCAGCCTTTGCACTGTGGATAACTGAAGGGAAAACATATCCACACCAATGTTAATTGTGCCACTGTAAACCTACAAAATAATTTTTTCAAAAAAGTAGCATATATTACATGCCACCACAATTTCTCCCAGCAATATAATGGCTCACTTCAATTCAGAGTACAATTCACTGCATTCTATGAATTCCTGTGTTCCATTATTCCATTCTTATTTTTATATATTAAAAATATCATTTAAAAATATACATAGAAATCGTATGTATGCATAAACATAAAGGGCTTTTCTTTCCATCTCTATTGCTTTTAAAACTATACAGTTACTATAGATGTACCCTGATCTTACCCAGGATTTTCAACATCCTTCAAGCAAGGAACTAATGGGATCCATGCTTACTGTAGTATTATGTACTGTTAAACCCTTCAGTCTCCAATGTCTAAATTACTGTTGTACTCTCAGTTCAAGAAAGGTTAGGATAAGGATATCATATCTGGGTTTCAAAAATCAGGAGGATGACTAGATGGCAGCAAATAATTAGCGTTTTCTGTACCTCTTTGCTGCTACCTAATGTTTATCTAAATCTCTGCATCCCAAGAGGCTTGTTCTGAATGACCACTGTTTCTCATAGCTGAAACACTGAAAACTTTCTTTATTTTGCTTTGATGAAATACAGAACATCCCAAAGTTCCATGTTTTGTTTCATCGAACAATTTGAACTGGTTCATCAGAACTTCCAGATTGCAATGTTTTGTTATGAATATGAAATAAAGCACATTTTCTGTTTTGCGCATACCCTTTCAAAAGGCTGTAATTCTATCAGAGGCAACACAGAGAACCTAGTTTCTACTGTTTATGCTAGTTCATTGGTTTCTGTTAATGAAACCTTTTGAGGTAAGAAACAGGTTAGGTCTCCCTAGGCTGACAAACCTGTACCCAAGTTGCATTACTTGGATTGCAAGTAGGGAATTACATTACTGAATGCCTTTTATTTTATGTAGCCCCTTCTTCCTGACATTTCCTATCCATCAGAAATAGTATTGGAAGAACATTCAGTTATGGGGGCTATGCTTGCAGTAGAAAATGGATAGTAGCCCATGTGGAGGGTTACCCTTCCTCCCCCAGATGCCATCTCTTGTCAAAAACACAAACAATTCACAAGAATGAAAGCTAGTGTTAGCGAGACCAGTTACCTTAGAAGAGAGGCCAAAGGCCCTGGAGCAAGGCTTCTTGGACTTTTATCTAGTCTATCAGCCTGATGCAGTGAAAACCTATGGCTTAACATTATATTGTTATGAAAATATTTATTATTCAATACTCTAATGAATCCCAACTTAAGACTACGTAAAACATTTGAAAGGGGCACCTCAAAAGGCATGCTAATACAAGGGAACCACCCATCCTAGAAGCTTTAAAGCAGCATGTTCTCTGGAAGGTCTGCCCAACTGATCTGAAAATTGTTCCTAATTTTTTGTCCATGCACCTATGTGCACAGAAAGCATTTCCATTACCAGTTAAATGGAGTGGCTGTCTGTGCATGTGTACACACATGGAGAAAGCTGGGGCAACCTTTGAAACAACTGTGCAAACTTTCCAGAGACTGCAGTTGCTGTAATGCTTTGAGGAGGGGTGATGTGCTTGTGCTAAAATGCTTTGTGGAATGACCCTTTCAATTGTTTTGCATAGCTTTAGCAAGTACATCAAAACCTGTTAAAAAGATTCCAAATCTCTCTATAAATCTAAACTTGAAATCTCTTTGATTATGCGTGTGGGTACACACACACGCACGTGAGCACGCACACACAGACACACACACACACACACAGATGTAAATATTTAACATTTGTTATCATTAGACTTGCTTTTTGTTGCCCAAGCTGTAGTGGCATCATGATTTACAGCATTATCATTTTGTAATGCAGCCTTCATTGTACAGTCAAATGGGGATTTTGATTCTTCTGGAAAAGGTATAGATTGATTCATGGAAAATCCATGATTTAAGGTTTGGGTCATCTTCAGTTTGCGAAATCTATTGGACATTCTGTTCCACCATGACTAGAAAAGAAAATATAATTACATTTCTTCCTTAGACATATAATTATGGGTAAAAAATAATTATGGAAATGATTTGAAATGAATTAATATTAATTTTAAGAAATCTACAAAAACTTTGAACACGTTCCTCTTCTTTTGGCTAAAGCTCATGTGAATGAAAAGACTGTATCTAGGAGCCAGAGGCAATGAAATAAACAATGATATGGAAAAAGAAGGAAATATTACTGGGAAAAAGTCCAAGACTGTCCCCAAAACTGACAAAATAGAAGGCAGCTGGAGCCTGCTGCTAGATTCCTATTCAAACCACAGTCTCACTGAGAAGGCGAGTATATTATTTGTATACCTTCAATCCTCCTTTGTCATCTGGCAACAATGGAATATCTATGGGCTGCTTATTTCTGGAAAACGGCACAGTTACTTTGCTGTTCTGCTTATTCTTTTCTTGCATGCAGGCTGAGGCCAACAACCGCACAAGTTCTGCATCTGTAAAATTCACACCCAATGATCTTGGTAAAGTGTTTCTACTCTAAACGTATTAGTAAAGACAAAATTCTTGTCTTATAATAAACATTACGATATACAAGATAAGCACACAGAAGTACCTGGGTCATTCAGCAGCATTATCAGGTCAAAGGCTGTATATCCGTTTTTAGCACGCAGGTTGACATCAGCTCCTTGATTTAATAAATACTTAACAACTTCTTTATTTCTTTAAATAAAACAGAATATAAGCTACATATATATATTAAAGACAGGTCATATTAGAAGAGGTTACTGGAAATAAATGAACTCTGCCTAATCGTGACCTCTAATCTCTCTTAAACTATTGTTTATTTCTGTTTTTATAGCTGGTTCTTGCACTAAAAATCTCTGTAGTAGCAAAGAGATCCAGCTAGTTACTATCACATCTGTATTTCAACCTAGTTATCATCAATACTTCTAGGGCTTAACAAGTTGCTTGTCCGAACTGATGCTTATATCTGCTTCTTACAATAACCCTCATCTATAGAAATACTCAGAATTTTCTGACTAAAGGTCTATCTATCTTGCAGTCGCCCACTATCACAATCAATTCTAGTTATCAGAAATAACAGTGTAGCTGCCACTTACAAGCTCACTTACAGCCCCAGTAACAAAGGGTCTATGCTGCCTTTTTGCAGTTTTATCAATACATCTCGACTTGACCTAAACAGCTTGGGAGCTGATGCCTGTGTTCACTGACACACTTATCTTTGATTAACTGAATTATTGTTTTCTGATTTAACTCCATTTTCAAGCTTCACACAACACAAAAACTAACCATACAGGCTGGATGCATACAGCACATTAGACTAAAAGTAGCTGGCTGATTTGTGGTTAAGCGTGTCACACAAATTCAGCTACTACAATTCTCAGCAATGACATTTAGTGTGTTTGTATAAAGAAAGAAGTAAAATAAGAACCACCAGAACAGGAACAATTTCCTTGTATGTTATCTGGTTCTGCCTAATTGTAAAACTGATACAATTTTATCAGAAAATGGGCAGAAAAGCATTCCCTAGTAAAGGTGTCAGATAGACTTGCTTGAAGGCTGTAACATAAATAACAATGTTGTCTACAAATTCTTCCATGGAGAAAGGAAGAAAATGTAGTACTGTATAGATATGGCTCTGCAGCTATTAGCTACAGAATAACTTAACTTACATCTCACTAAATCACGGTTTAATAATAGAATGATGAATAAGCCACCATCATGGCTTAGTACAATGTATTAACCAAACTAACCCTAAGTATTTATGATATTGGGGGTGGTGGTGGTCATACAGGGATTATAGTTTCATCCCAGGAGATCTGCAGGGAGGCAGTCAAAAAGC